TCTCTCGAGCGCTCGCTCTCTTCCTCTCTCTCTCTCTTTCTTCCGCTCTCTCTCACACTGTTCCTCTCTGTCCCTCTCTCTCACTCTCTTTTCAGTCAAAATGTGTTAAATAGTCGCTCAGTAGGCAGCATGCTTGAGGAATCTAAGAACTAAGACCGTCTTCTTGTCAGGAGCACACATATTATTACCTAAAATGCCGTCTAAAATGCTGAGCTCACTAGGTTTTGAGATGCACCCAAAGACATGCTGGCGCTGAAGGCAAACATGGCTGCCATTTTCCACTTTGTTTTTTTCACTGTAAGCTGAAAGTTCTCCGTGTCCTGCCTGGTCTGCCTGGTCTGCTGTGAGGTGAGCTACAACCGCTGCAGCACATCAGAACATTCTAGTACAGCTACCATAGGATTTAAAATAGTCGTTTGCAGTGTTTCATAAGGCCTCTATGTCTGCACTGCGTGGACTGTAATAACTGCATCACAGCTGATAATGGGCAAGTAATGTTTTTATATGTACCACTGTACGATCTACAGCCAGACTGCACTGCACAGTATGCACTGTTGGAGCAGAGCTTTGTCTCCTAAATTAGAAACAGCTGCTGGGACTTTGGTTCATCGTGGCATGGAGTAGACGTGCTCGGAGCTCTCCACGGAGCCAAGTTTTTCTTTACATGATATAAGTTATTTTTTGTTTCATTTATTTGCTTTTTAGTATCAAGTTAACCTGGTTATCACTACCATGCTGATTTTGGTCGTCGACATGCCCCCAAAAGCAAACAGAACACCGGGACCTTCACAGTCCCTTATTCGGCCTGTTGTACAAGCTGCATCCTCGACTGTTGGTGACGCCGCTCGCTCAGTAGAGGTGAGCGTGGCCCCGCTTACAACTTAAGACACATCGGCGCTGAGGCCTGAGATTGTTCGAGCAGTGGTGACGGAGCTCCGCGGGCTGATGGACGAACACTACTCCGACATTAAGACAGAGCTCCATGATATGAAAACTGAGCTGATCTGAGACTTTGTGGCACTAAGGGTTCACCAGTCTGAAGTCTACTGTATATAGAACACTCTCTGTCTACTTTTCGGACGATGTGTTAGGATTGCAAGCTAAAGACTGCTAGTTACACCTCTTTTTGTTATCGGGGGTGTTGCCTAAGGGGGTCTGGCCCAAAGTTGAGCCATTGCTGTTGTCCTCATGTCCAGGTGTTCAGAGAACTTTGTTGGGGTAAAATGTTGGGTTGGGTAGGTGTGTTGGTTTGTGTGTGTGTGTGTGTGTGTGTGTGTGTGTGTATATATATATATGTGTGTTTGTAACCCCCCCCCCTTTTCTCTGCCGGCACTTTCTTTTTTCTTCTTTGTGCTTTTTATATTACAAACAGCCTAAATGACAGATTTCAGTCTCCATAATGTGGACAATGGAGCTTGTGTAAGATTTCTTGGCCTGAACGTTAAACGTTCGAAAATCTTTGTTCACTTGAAACGCTTGAAGGCTGATGTATGTTTTTTTTCTTTTATATAAGAAGCACATCTAAGGAATAATAATCATTTCAGACAAAATTTTTCTTGGGTTTTTCTCTCAATTCCAAAACCAGGAGAGTGGCAGTTTTAATTCATTTTATCCTTGACAATGTTATCATAGGCGCAGGTGGTAGATATCTTATTGTTCAAGGTACTTTGCTTCAGTGGTGCTGGTAAATATGTATGCTCCCAACTTTGATGATCCACAATTTATACATAAGCTATTTAGTTCCATTCCCTCCTTAAACTCTCATCGCCTGATAATGGGAGGAGATCTGAATTGTGCCATTGACTCCTTGATGTCCCAGTCAGTTTCTGATTTTATGATGAGATAAGATATTATTGATCCTTGGAGATTCTATAACCCTGGTGTTATTTACTCTCACCCACATCAAACCTATTCCTGCATTTATTATTTATTATTATTTATTATTTTTTTTGATGATAATTCTCTTATTTCCTCTTCTAAGTACTACCCAATAGTCATCTCTGATAATGGACCCTCTCTCTATAAATATTAGGTTTTCAAATTGACCTTTTTTTCCAGTTCCCTGGAGATTTAGCTTATTACTATTCATTTAGCAATTTCATCTCATCCTCTATTGCGATTTTATTGCTTCAAATACGAATGATAACACTTCTTTTTCTCTCTTATGGGAATCTCTTAAGGCTTATTTACATGGTCAAATGATTTCCTTCACAGCACACTGAAGTAGATTACATAAACACAAGTTGCAAGATCTATAGAAGGAAAAAATGCTGATTTAGATAAGCTTAACTCGGTTAATCCCACACCTGCTCAACTGAAACGTCGGTTCGATTTACAAACTGAATTTGATCTTATTACCACAACTGAGGCTGAACAGCTGTTGTTGCATGCATGCAGCAATTACTATGAGCATGGCGATAAACCATCTAGGCTTTTAGCACATCAGTTAAAAAGACAGACTGCTTCTCGATCCATTTTACAAATTAAGAACTCTGCTGGGGTGCTGTGTTCAGATCCTCTCTCTATTAATGCTGCTTTCAAGTCCTTTTACTCTAGTCTTCATCATTCAGAGTCTACATCTGATAATGCTGAGATGCTGTCGTTTTTTTGTCAGAGCTATGCAAGCCCATAAGGCTCCTGGTCCTGACAGCCTTCCAGTGGAATTTTTAAAAATAAATTATTGACAAGTTAGCTCCCCTTCTTTTAGCAGTGAGTTACAATGAGTCCCTGGCATCCCGGGTGCTACCTTCAGCTCTTACTGAGGCAACTATTCTTCCCTTTTTCAAGACTATACCCACCTTCCTACCAAACAACCACTGGATAACATTCTGACTCTTGATCCTTCTCAGAAATCGAGTGTTCCTGGCTTCACCTGATACAATCGATAGATCCAAGTCCCACTTACCAAACCTACGTCATATGTATTTTTTTGTCCTTCTCTACAAAAATTTTGGTCTATTTTCAGATAACGACAGGTTTTAGTTTTTAAAGTTAGTATGAATCCCTCTGTTGCAATATTTGGATTTTCCGCTGATCTGCCCGATAAAAGATAGCACTGCTGCATTTTATGCTAAATGGAATTCTTTTGTGTTTTGATGCTCTCCAGGTTATGCTGGTGGATTGAAAATTATATCGTTTTTAATTTTCCTTCTTCCCCCTTCAAAGACAAGGTTGTTTTTGTTTTATTTTTCGGAGAAAGTCTTGGCGTGCCGGTGTGTGTGTGTGTGTGTGTGTGTGTGTGTGTGTGTGTGTGTGTGTATGAGTGTGTGTGTGTGTGTGTGTGTGTGTGTGTGTGTGTGTGTTGTAGGGTAAATTTAATTATAAAAACTGAGGTTGCCAGTGAATTTGCCACTGTTTTTCTCCATTTGTTTGATGTATCTGTTTTGGTTCCTCAAATAAAAATGGTCTTTCAGGGCCTGAAAGAGCTGCTGATTAACTGGGATATATATATAAACACAGCAACTCTGCAAGAGTACAGAGAGGGAGGAGTTCACAAAGCAGGACTCCTTAGTTTAGCCAGATAACTTGAGCCCAAAATCAAGCCTGTAGAATAGAAGAGAGCTGAGGGACATTCTTATTGGACGATCCTCGTCTTTGGGTTTAAGTGATCTAACTGAGAAATCCTACTTTGTGAAACTCTCCTAAAGTCACACTCAGTCCTGATTATAAACAGACTGCTTCGTCTAACTGAACAGCAGATGGGAACTAATTTGGAAAAACTGCAGATTAGCAAAAGCAACAGGGGCACAGATTTTCCTGGGTTTGTTTATTTCTTATTTTCTTGTTTTGTTTTTGTTACTGCTGCTCCTGCCCACCCTGCGATGGATTACTGACCTCTCCAAGGTGTTTCCTGCCTTCTGGCCAATGACTGCTGGACCGCTGGGACAGGATCCAGCACCCCCTCCCCACCCCCACCCTCCGCGAAACAGAAGAATAAGTGGCTTATAAAATGTGAGTGAGTGTGTGTAGAAATCTTACTGGTTTCATAGCAGAACATTATAAAACCTCATTACCACCACCGAGAGGAGAAAACTTGTTTTTATTTCTCTCTTTCAAAATGTGGAATATGACACGTTTGACTTTATCTTGAAATAATTACTTATTTCTTGACATTTTGAGACAACACTGTGCTTACTGCTTGCATTTAGTGGAGCCAAGTTCATTATTAGTGTCTTTTCTTATTAGTTTTTCAATAAAAGTCTGTATTCAATACAGTCTGTTAAAGACATGATTAATCAAAAAATCTCTGTCTTCCTCCTGTGATGGGACACCACCAGATAACCAACAGTTAACAACTCATCATTTTTCTTTTGTCTTTTATCAGTGAATCCTCCAGTTTCGATCATGATCACCTACCTTTGGACTTTTGTCCTGTTGCTCATCACCTGTGCAGGTGAGTGACCCAACTAGTGGCCATTCTGCAAAGCACACCACTGTCTAAAAACTATCTATATTGTTCTTTCATACATTTATTTTAAAATATTTACCTGTGCCAAAATCAGAGACCACCATTCATTCATTTAATTTCAAGTTAAAACAGCCATTAAGTGAAAGTTATTCATTTTTCAGCATCACAAAAAGCAGAAAATACATTTTATCAGAAAATTACACAGAAACCTCAACAAGTATATCTAATATATTTGTTCAGTGTGTCACTCTTTAACTTCATTCCAGCTTCCCTTCTTTTCTGGAGACTCACTTTCAGTTCCTCAAAGAATCTGCAGGGATATTTTTCATGCCTCCAAAGTTCAGTCTTGAAGCTGGTTGATCATTTTTAGATCATTAGATTGTTTTTCAGATCTGAAGCAGCTTGATTTTCTCCTCTCTCTCAAAGATGAAAGCTTTAGGACAGCTTTGGTGTCTGCCAGGTCTTCCAGGTGGTTGTTAGGAGCCTCATTTTCTCTGGAGCTTTTAATCATTTTTAAAATTCCAGTTTTGGAAGCTCCTCTTAGAAATATCTCCTTTAGCCATTTTAGATGCTCATGAGAGAGAAATGTGAGAGGCAGCTGAGGTGAGTACAGGTAGCTGTTAGTGTGAATATTAGTGTCTCTGTGAAGGTGAGTATAATGTCAGTGAGATCTTTGGGAGCAGCTTTTGTTGATGGACACAGCTGTTACTGGTTGGTTTTGAGACTGGAAGGATGGAGGAGTTAAAGTGGCAGTCGAGCAAAAAAGAGTGAATAAATCAAATACTGAGATTTAACACTGCACTCAGTGTTGGAGGCATCTGTGTAATTTTCATGACACTGATTAACTTAACGTCAGTGGTCTCTGACTTTGGCACAGTACTTTATATATGTTTATATACTGACTTCCTGAATGTTTTATATTTTATGTGTTATCCAGGCTCTCTGTCTGCACAGTCTAGAACAAACATGTCAGTCAGAGTGGGTTCCACAGCTGTTCTTCCATGTGACTGGAGAAATATAAGCAACACACAGTCATCAAGCCAAACTCCTCATGTTGAGTGGTGCAAGTCTGCTGAGACGGTGTTTGCGCGAAGGGGTGGGGAGCTGTATCAGGGTGAGGGGTATGAAGACCGTGTGGACGTTCCTGAAGATCACCTGCTGAAGGGGGACTGTTCACTGGTGTTGAAGAACGTCAGACCTGCTGATTCAGGAATCTATGAAAGCTTCCTGCTGGTTAGGAGAACAAAGAGAGCTCCCCTTTCTAGGGTTTCCATCCAGAAAGTAGAGCTCTCAGTAGAAGGTAAGGAGATTAAACTACAGTCCATCAGATGTGTACAGAGTTATAGAGTAAATCTTTAAGATTAAGCAAATCTTTAATTAAAGTCTTTTTCAAAATGGTAATTTCAATTGTTTTTCCTTATTTCATCAAAGATGCATCAGAGGAGATCAACAGTGAAAAAAAGCCAACAGAACGTGAGTAAAAACCTAATTTAAGCATTCATCATCATACCTTCCTGTACATCAATGCATTTTATAAAGCTAAACATTATTTTCAACCTGGAAAATTGTTATTTGTGTGTTTTTGCTGGATAAAATGGAGTCATTTTCAGTATTTATGTATATATGTATGTATGTATGTATGTATGCATGTATGTGTATGTGTGGGTGTTAAAGTAACCAGGCTAGTTATAGTCTATTGTTAGTTAACATTTTCTTGGCCTGTTTAGTAACACATGGTATTTACCAACCATCAGGCAGCGCAGACTAACACATGATTCCTCGGTGGATTTTTAAACTAACACACATTTAATACAGAGCAGCCTACTTCTGCATTTACATGTTTGTGTTAGTAAAAAGGTTCCGTGACTCACTGCAGTGCTCAGTAGACGGTGACGTGCAGCCATGTAAACATTGCTGATTCAGCAGTGGCATTTCTGGTCATGTATGTAGTGAAAATATGTCCAGTATTCTGTCCTATGAACTGTTTGAACACCCAGGAATTGTTCCCAGTATATCTAATAGTGGACTTTCAGACTGTGTTGTAAGTGACCAGGTAGGACCTCAGCTGTGAGTGATCAGTGTCCATGTTTCCAAAGCATTCAACATCTGATTTATTCCACAGCTGCAGCATCTGCAACAAGTAACATATTTCAGTTCCAGTCAAACCAAACATCACCGTAACCCTGTTTCAGCACTTTTTAAAACATGACCTTACCACAGTCACCCTCGGCTAGGCTAGCGTCAGTGAGCTAATTAGCTAGCCACACCAACTGTAAAGCATAAAATATGGAAAGTGCCATAACTTCTGCACAGCCCACATTTAATGTCTTCCAAAATGTTAAATCCAGTAAATAAACAGAAATTGTGCATTAAAGTTTAAAAGTGTGTCCACTGTAGAGGACGTGTTCACTTTTCACAGAAGATGTCATTTGACCAAACTTTTGTGTACAGCTGTAACATACATGTATTTTGTGAATAACTGCTTTGTCTGGCTGTGAAGGTTGGTGAAAAAACGTTGAAACAACTGTTACTATTAAATGGTTGTGAAATGGTTCACAAAATACTCATAAATCAACGTTGAAATTTCAACTTTAAATCAACATAATGGTTTAAACATCCTGCTTTACAAATATGATCATTATTATTATTAATTTATTGCCATTTTTTATATTTTGATCATAAGAGCACTTCAAAAATCTAAATTTGTATGTTTAAAACAGCAAACAACAGAAACAATAATAGTAACAGGCAAATTAAGTTTGAGAAAAAAACCCTTGTTTGCCGCCCATTGAAACAGCATGAACACTGTGTTAACTATCAGCGCCCGTACTGAGGCGGGCTGACTACACCCGTTTCGAGGCTGCCCGAGTGCGCCTGCGCTGCGGCGACGCGCGCGACTCACCAAGGTTTAGCTGAGCGGGAAAAGCGGTTGGAGCGGCTTCTGGAAACTTCGGAGGCGCCGAGACGCGTTTGGTGAGTAAGACTTAGTTTATTTGACGTAGAAACCGTTTTTGATCGGACATTTACTTAGATTTAATCCTAAAATCTGACAATGTTGAACTCTTTATACAGTAAATCGAAAGTTAGCGCCCCTTGCTCAGTTAGCTGGTTAGCCGGTGGGCTAGCTGGGCTAACCTAGTCACCTCTGACTGTTTCTCTCGTTTACGAAGGCAGTTAAAAGGTAATTGTTCTAATTACTATTTTAAATTTGGAGCGACATTGTCGAATTCAGGCTCTAAATCCAGCTAATAAACTGAGTTGCTGTCTAAGTTAGCTCGAGTTTAGCTGACGTTAGCAGGCTGGCTAACAGCTCTGCTGGAAGACGGTTCGGTTCCGGCTAACTTGTGCTAAACTCCGACGAATTTCAAGGAAAATGACTCAGATTTGAGCGAGTTTAGTGGAGAGGACGGTGCTGGAGTGTCCGATCAGCAGAAACTGATCAGGGTTTGTGGTGTGGGGCTGTTAGTTTGCTGGCTAGCAGGTAACGGCTCCACAGCCCGGACCGGGTCTGATTCACTCAGATGAAGCAGAAATCTGTAGAGGGAGAGACGCGGAGTGACTGGAGCTGGAGTTAAAGCTTAAAGGGGAACTCCACTGATTTTCAGAAATTCTGCATAATTCAGTGGTTGCGATGTTGACAGTCATTCACAGGGGTTTGGGGTGAAATGCCCTGCTGTAGTGAAATCTACGACTGATGAAATGTTCAAAAGTGGAACCAGACATCTGAAGAATTCAGTGCCTCTGAAAACTCTCTCTTAGAAAGCTGTTATATGAAATGGTTAGAAATATACTGTGTGATGCCAGAAACTTTGTTTTATGGTGGTTCTGTGATAAAATTTTAACTTGCTTTTTTTTTTAAATTCATTAATACTGGAGGGATACATACAGGACAAAATAGTCTCCCAAGAAAACTTTTTTTTTTTCCAGACTGTTTTTCCACCATCACCATTACACAAAAACACATGTAGGTTCACTGGTGGTTTCAGATAGTAAATAAAATGGCTGTATTTGTGTTGTAGTCATGGTGATCTTTCCCTTTCTAATGATTGACTGTAATAACGATTGGTAAAGAACAGTTTTGTGACATTTTAAAAATTTTTTTAAGTCCTGTTTCAGTGTCTTTTTCGTCTTTTACTTCTACGCTCCCTATTAACCCGCCATATTTTAAGCTACGGAAGCTCTTCTCATCAGGAGTGAGCAAAGTACAAAACTTCTGAACCTGAATAAAAGTAAAAATTCTTACAGTACAAGTATTCTATTTGTTTTTTTACTTGAGTTAAAGTACAGAAGTACTTGTTTTTAAGTTGTGAATTGGACTATACATTAATTTAACTTTTGCAAAAGTAAGTACACTTTTATAGAAGATTATGGTAAAATAAGAATTTTGTTAAGTGATGAATTAATATGACCATGGTGGTTAATAAAGTAAAATGAACTAAGAAAGGGTAAAGTTCCATTTTGATTTCATATTGACTTTAAATGTATTTCATCAAACTATCGTAAGTAAAAGTACTGAATTATTGCAGTTCTGTTTTAATGAATACGTTCTGTTAAGAAAGCCTGTGTGGCTGCAGGCATTAGAGTTAACTATTCATGTCTGTAGCCACACAGGTCTCTTTATTGGAAAATACTTCTCAGAATTTCTTTAATAACTTTTAGTTCCGTTACTTCTGATACCAAGTAATTTAAAAGCAAGCACAAATAGTGCTATACATTTGGACAAGTAATATTTTACCAAGATCATTTCTACTTTTACTCAAGTACAGAAATTATGTACTTTGTCCACCCTGCTGCTGGCTTCAAGCAGAGGCTAGGAAACAAACCCTGTCTGCATAAACAGGTATTTCTCAGGTTTGGAAACAATGTCTTGACTGAATTTGGGAGGCTTGTCTGCTTTTACAAATGGAGTTAGTCAACGTAAATATGGCTGTGTCTGTTTTGTTATTAAATTTAGTATTTTAAACTTGGATTAAATGTGTCCTCTTCCTACAGCCATCCATCTGCTGCTTCTAGTTCTCGACTGTTAAGGACTTACAGCTTGTCCCAGATACTTTTATTTATAGTAATGTTATAGTGTAGCTGTTTGTAATGTTAGTATATGTTTCTTTACATATTGCTGTTGTATAAATGCAATACGATTTTGAATGTTAAATGTCATTGTGAAAACAAGCACATTGTTATTTATAGAAACACTCTCCTTCTATGTTATTGCATCCGCAACCCCTTCTTTCTTGTTTCTTTGTAGATTTATTTCTCATAATGCCTGCTGTCTGCTATCTGGTGAGGGTTTTACTCATCTTGCTTACTTTTTTCTTTATTTTAGATGCAGCCATGAAGAATCCACAGTAGCAATCATGCTGCAGGTGACAAAGAAATTGACCAGAGACCTCCACGTCTGATAAGAGCCGAGTACATTTAACATTGTTGGGTAGGGGTCAGATGTTCATTCGCTGTCTGCCTCTCTCTCTCTCTTCCACACATGCTCTATATATACATTCACTGACCACTTTATGTACACCTTACTTAAGCCTGTTTGCAAATTACATTATGTCACTGCGTTGCTGTGGCACATACTGGAGGGCAGGAAGTGATTTTCATAGAAGGCACTGTCACAGGTTCTCAAAATGCCTATGGTTTACGTTGTTTATGGTTGCTAAATTAGTTCTAACTGAGAAACTACAAGGAGCTTTTATCACGTACCAAAGCTGCTTGTTCATTGGGGGAAAAATGCAAGAAATTGACCAAAAACACCAGCAAAAAATATATTTTGCACAGTTCATCTGTGGGTGTGCACAGGTGATAGATTTAAAAGGTACAAGCAACACCACTTGCACTAAAATCAGGGTTAACAGTTAAACAAAAGAGAGGTGATCAAACAAGTTGCTTATATCTGCTGCCTCAGTAGCAGGGAAGTCTTTCAATTCAGTTGGAAATAAACACTCCTCTTGAAAACACGCCCAACATATGTTGTAATTTTCTCTCGTAATATAGTCTAAACTAGCATAGTATGGCCTTCATGCTTGCCTCCATCTTGTGTTCCGCTTTACACTTCCTGCCCTCCATCTGGAATTTGCACGTCATTCGAACCATGTGACTTTAGAGATTGTAGTCCATCTGTTTCTCTGCATAATTTGTTTACTCTTTTACCGTATTCTTCAATGGTCAAGACACCATAGGAGCCCCCAGAACATGTATTATTTAGGTGGTGGATCATTCTCAGCACTGCAGTAACACTGACGTGGTGGTGGTGGTATGTTAGTGTGTGTTGTTCTGGTGTGAGTAAATCATACACAGCAAGGCCTGCTGCAGTTTTTAAACACTGTGTCCACTCACTGTCCACTCTATTAGACACTTCTACTTTGCTAGTCCTTGTAGATGTAAAGTCAGAGACGATAGCTCATTTGCTGCACAGTTTGTGTTGGTCATCCTCTAGTCCTTCATCAGTGGTCACAGGACGCTGTTAGCTGGATATTTTTGGTTGGTGGACTATTCTCAGTCCAGCAGTGACACTGAGGTGTTTAAAAACTCCAGCAGCACTGCTGTGTCTGATCGACTCAGACCAGCGCAACACACACTAACACACCACCACCACGTCAGTGTCACTACAGTGCAGAGAATGACCCACCACCCAAATAATACCCACTCTGTGATGGTCCTGAGAGGGTCCTGACCACTGAAGAACAGGGTAAAAGGAGGCTAACAAGGTATGCAAACTACTGTCTGTAATTGTAGATCTACAAAGTACTCCCATATTGGTGAACCTGATTAAATGGAAAATGTGTGAATACAAGGTAGCTGTAAATGATAGTGTGTGTGTGTGTGTATAAAACAGAGTGGTGTACTGCACATTTGTTTCGTGTGTATTTTTCTTTAACACCTGTTTATTGGTATATGTTAACTGTTTATCTTTTATGTACTATTCCATTTTGTAAGTGTTGTAGGTCTGTACTGTATATTTGTGTAAGACAATTAAAGCAGTTGTTTCCAAATGATTTCTAATGTTGTCATTGAAATTCATGCATGCATACAAGTGAAAACAGGTGAGCTTTAAGGATGTGTTACTTTACAAGGCATGATACAGTGCATACTAGCTTAATAGATGATGATGCACATTAAAACTGTGGCAGACTATTGACTGTTAAGCTGTGTTCACCTGTGCTGTACTGTGTTCATTGGGGATTGGGTCAGTTGGTTTTCTTTTTATTGTTGTCTGGATTATGTTATGCTATTTCAGAATAAAAGTGAATGTTAGTCTACGTCTGAGCAAATGCTGTGCTTTTGGTTGAGGTACATGTAGTTATAGAAATTCAGATTAATGCAGAAACTGTATGGAAGTAAATTGAGTATATTTTGCTAGCTGGGAGTGTTGATAGCACAACGTATCCGAATGTGAGCCGAGCATTTAGGACAGAATTGGGCCGAGATACAAACCAAAGTCTCGGCAAACGAGGTATAAGATCGGTATGCAGTATTCAGCCGAGATGTGGCCCAACTGATTTTTGCTATATGGGAGACTCAATGTTGAAAGGTAAGACGTTGAAACAACGTTGCGATATCGACGTTGATTCATCTTTCAAAATCAAAACATAAACCAACATTGTTTCAACCATGATCCGTGACGTTGATTCAACCGTGAATAAACGTTGAAATGCCAGCTGGGTTGATTGTGTATTATGAATTTTTCCACTATATAAAATATCTACCTTCTTATCGAATGATGCATAACCATTATTCATTTCCTTCTGTTTCTACAGGTAATGCAGGAACGATCCAAACTTCCTCACAGGTCATGATGTTCATCCTCCTTCCAAACATATTCGTCCATTTCATCTGAGGAAATCTGAATTATGGACCTTCTTCAGAAATGTTATGTAATAGCTCGGTCCCGGACACTGGTGTCACTAAATTTATTTTCTAGTCTTGCCAGCTGTGGTTTAAAAAAAAAATTTGTTCTTTTAAAGGTCACCAGTGTGAGGCGGCTCAAACTGCTCAGCTCAGGTATTTTTTTGACCTGTCAACCTGTCGGATGTTAAGTTGAGCTTTTTCACTAATTTTCATGTCTGAAACAAAGTTTTTCTTAATTTAGGAATCTTGTCTTACAGCATCTTATCTCAAGATAGGAAATCTTAACTTACTCCATCTACAGTCAGCTGTCATGTTTGCGTAATTAGCAACCAACTATAAACACACAGCTGAACATGAATATCAAAATAATTAAGCTAGTTAGCCAGGCAGCTAAAGCCAGACGTACACTGTGCGATTTTCGACCATTTTTAAGCCCGATTTGGTCGAAACGTTCTGGGCGAGTGATTAGAAACTATTGCACGAACGTGGCGGGCTGTGCTCTGAGGCAACGGGCCGCGCGAACGTGGCGGGCTGTGCTCTGAGGCGAACGTGCAGTGCGAACGTGCAGTGCGAACGTGCAGTGCGAACGTGCAGTGCGAACGTGGCGGGCTGTGCTCTGAGGTGACGGGCCGCACGAACGTGGCAGGCTGTGCTCTGAGGCGACGGGCCGCACGAACGTGCAGCGCGAACGTGGCAGGCTGTGCTCTGAGGCGACGGGCCGCACGAACGTGCAGCGCGAACGTGGCGGGCTGTGCTCTGAGGCGACGGGCCGCACGAACGTGCAGCGCGAACGTGGCGGGCTGTGCTCTGAGGCGACGGGCCGCACGAACGTGCAGCGCGAACGTGGCGGGCTGTGCTCTGAGGCGACGGGCCGCGCGAACGTGGCGGGCTGTGCTCTGAGGCGACGTGCAGCGCGAACGTGGCGGGCTGTGCTCTGAGGCGACGTGCAGTGCGAATGTGCAGTGCGAACGTGCAGTGCGAACGTGGCGGGCTGTGCTCTGAGGCGACGGGCCGCGCGAACGTGGCGGGCTGTGCTCTGAGGCGAACGTGCAGTGCGAACGTGCAGTGCGAACGTGCAGTGCGAACGTGCAGTGCGAACGTGCAGTGCGAACGTGGCGGGCTGTGCTCTGAGGCGAACGTGGCGGGCTGTGCTCTGAGGCGAACGTGGCGGGCTGTGCTCTGAGGCGAACGTGGCGGGCTGTGCTCTGAGGCGAACGTGGCGGGCTGTGCTCTGAGGCGAACGTGGCGGGCTGTGCTCTGAGGCGATGGACCGTGCTGTGCTCTGAGGCGACGGGCCGCACGAACGTGCAGCGCGAACGTGGCAGGCTGTGCTCTGAGGCGACGGGCCGCACGAACGTGCAGCGCGAACGTGGCAGGCTGTGCTCTGAGGCGACGGGCCGCACGAACGTGCAGCGCGAACGTGGCAGGCTGTGCTCTGAGGCGACATGCAGTGCGAACGTGGCAGGCTGTGCTCTGAGGCGAACATGGCGGGCTGTGCTCTGAGGCGATGGACCGTGCTGTGCTCTGAGGCGACGGGCCGCACGAACGTGCAGCGCGAACGTGGCAGGCTGTGCTCTGAGGCGACATGCAGTGCGAACGTGGCAGGCTGTGCTCTGAGGCGAACATGGCGGGCTGTGCTCTGAGGCGATGGACCGTGCTGTGCTCTGAGGCGACGGGCCACACGAACGTGCAGCGCGAACGTGGCAGGCTGTGCTCTGAGGCGACATGCAGTGCGAACGTGGCAGGCTGTGCTCTGAGGCGAACATGGCGGGCTGTGCTCTGAGGCGATGGACCGTGCTGTGCTCTGAGGCGACGGGCCACACGAACGTGCAGCGCGAACGTGGCAGGCTGTGCTCTGAGGCGACGGGCCACACGAACGTGCAGCGCGAACGTGGCAGGCTGTGCTCTGAGGCGACGGGCCGCACGAACGTGCAGCGCGAACGTGGCAGGCTGTGCTCTGAGGCGACGGGCCGCACGAACGTGCAGCGCGAACGTGGCAGGCTGTGCTCTGAGGCGACGGGCCGCACGAACGTGCAGCGCGAACGTGGCAGGCTGTGCTCTGAGGCGACGGGCCGCACGAACGTGCAGCGCGAACGTGGCAGGCTGTGCTCTGAGGCGACATGCAGTGCGAACGTGGCAGGCTGTGCTCTGAGGCGAACATGGCGGGCTGTGCTCTGAGGCGATGGACCGTGCTGTGCTCTGAGGCGACGGGCCACACGAACGTGCAGTGCGAACGTGGCAGGCTGTGCTCTGAGGCGACGGGCCACACGAACGTGCAGTGCGAACGTGGCAGGCTGTGCTCTGAGGCGAACGTGGCAGGCTGTGCTCTGAGGCGAACGTGGCAGGCTGTGCTCTGAGGCGAACGTGGCAGGCTGTGCTCTGAGGCGAACGTGGCAGGCTGTGCTCTAAGGCGACGGGCCGCATGAACGTGCAGTGCGAACGTGGCAGGCTGTGCTCTGAGGCGACGGGCCGCGCGAATGTGCAGCGGGCTGTGCTCTGAGGTGAACGTGGCGGGCTGTGCTCTGAGGTGAACGTGGCGGGCTGTGCTCTGAGGCGAACGTGGCGGGCTGTGCTCTGAGGCGAACGTGGCGGGCTGTGCTCTGAGGCGAACGTGGCGGGCTGTGCTCTGAGGCGAACGTGGCGGGCTGTGCTCTGAGGCGACGGGCCGCGCGAACGTGGCGGGCTGTGCTCTGAGGCGACGGGCCGCGCGAACGTGGCGGGCTGTGCTCTGAGGCGACGGGCCGCGCGAACGTGGCGGGCTGTGCTCTGAGGCGACGGGCCGCGCGAACGTGGCGGGCTGTGCTCTGAGGCGACGGGCCGCGCGAACGTGGCGGGCTGTGCTCTGAGGCGAACGTGGCGGGCTGTGCTCTGAGGCGAACGTGGCGGGCTGTGCTCTGAGGCGAACGTGGCGGGCTGTGCTCTGAGGCGAACGTGGCGGGCTGTGCTCTGAGGCGAACGTGGCGGGCTGTGCTCTGAGGCGAACGTGGCGGGCTGTGCTCTGAGGCGAACGTGGCGGGCTGTGCTCTGAGGCGAACGTGGCGGGCTGTGCTCTGAGGCGAACGTGGCGGGCTGTGCTCTGAGGCGAACGTGGCGGGCTGTGCTCTGAGGCGAACGTGGCGGGCTGTGCTCTGAGGCGAACGTGGCGGGCTGTGCTCTGAGGTGAACGTGGCGGGCTGTGCTCTGAGGCGACGGGCCGCGCGAATGTGCAGCGGGCTGTGCTCTGAGGTGAACGTGGCGGGCTGTGCTCTGAGGCGACGGGCCGCGCGAACGTGGCGGGCTGTGCTCTGAGGCGAACGTGGCGGGCTGTGCTCTGAGGCGAACGTGGCGGGCTGTGCTCTGAGGCGAACGTGGCGGGCTGTGCTCTGAGGCGAACGTGGCGGGCTGTGCTCTGAGGCGAACGTGGCG